GAGATTATAGAATCTCGCAAACGTGTTAGGCGTCGCCCAGCCGGCAGCTCTACAGATGTCTGCTATCGAGGCGCCCCGCGCCAATGCCCAAGAAGATGCCACTCCTCTCGTAGAGTGAGCTCTCACTCTAAGGGGGCAAGGTAACCATTGGGCCTGGTAAGCTAAGACTATAGCCTCCACTAACCAGTGGGCAAGTCTTTGTTTGGAGACAGCCTTTCCCTTCTGCTGACCTCCAAAGCAGACAAAGAGCTGGTCTGAGGTCCTGAAGCTCTGCGTATGGTCCACGTAAACGCGCAGAGCACGAACGGGACAGAGCAGAGCGACAGCTGGGTCTGCCTCCTCCCGGGGCAGCGCTTGCAAGTTCACCACCTGATCCCTAAAAGGCGAGGTGGGAACTTTGGGCACATATCCAGGTCGGGGTCTCAGGACAACTTGAGAGAAAATGCCTGCAGGTCCCCTACCCTCTTGACCGAGGCCAATGCGGTGAGGAGCACTTGTCGTCTTCAACGACAGAAACTTAAGCTCTACTGACTGCAGATGCTCGAAGGGCTCCCCCTTCAAGGCCGCCAGGACCGAGGGGAGATCCCAAGAGGGTAACAGGTGAGGGTGCGGAGGATTTAACCTCCTTGCCCCTCTGAGAAACCTGATGACCAAGTTGTGCTTCCCCAAAGACTTACCGTCTACTGCCTCGTGATGCATGGCAATGGCGGTAACATACACTTTAAGGGTGGAGGGAGACAGCCTTCACTCCAACCCATCCAACCCGAGCGGCGTGACAGCGGCTGCGGATGCCATATGCCCCAGGAGCCTCTGAAATTGTTCCAGTGGAACCACCATCTTGCACTGGAAGGACCCCAGGCAGTTCAGCATCGACTGTGCGTGCTCTTCCTTGTCCAGCACCGAGGTGAACCGAATGCCCCTGAACTTGGGAATTGAATCGCGTAGCCGAGTCTGATGGTTCTCATGAGCCGGCGAGACAGCCTGGGGAGCGCTAACCAGGCCTCCAGCGATCGAACTAGTGGGACCAGGGAAACCACCGACGTACCTGGCTCCACTGCTGGGCAGGGGGCTCGTGAGGGGGCGTAGCGTCCTTGAACTGAACCCTGCTGCCCACTAGCGAAGGGAGAGGGGGCCGGCTGTGTGGAGACTGGGTCTCGTGCACCGCCGTCCTCGCCCTCTTGGGACCCGGAGGCAAAGGAAACTGCTCTTTTATTGAAGTTTTGGGTACCCCAGTGGCGGAACAAAAACAAATGGAAACATACGATTCTCCACCCGGCCCTCCTCCGGGGGAAGGAGTGGTGCAGTCAACATCTCCTGAAGAGCAGGATCCAAGAGCTCCGGGTCGCCCGTCTCAGGGACGCCGCCTGCTCTGGTGCTTCACGGGCTTAGCAGGGGCGGAGGCGGGCTGCGCCAGTTTCCTGGGGCCAGCTCCAGGCTGCTGTTGTGGCCGCGCCGGAGCGGAGGTGGAGGCCGCAGGAGGGCGCCCTCGGCGATGAGCAGACAGAGGGGGGCACAGAGGTGAACCGAATGCCCCTGAACTTGGGAGGGCGCCGGGCGAACTGAATCGCGTAGCCGAGTCTGATGGTTCTCAGGAGCCAGCGAGACGGCCTGGGGAGGGCTAACCAGGCCCCCAGCGACCGAACTAGCGGGACTAGGGAGACCACCGACGTACCCGCGGTGGGGCAGCGAAGTGGAGCACAGGGACCCGACCCGGAAGGCCGCGCGTCCCAGGGTGGGGTCTGAGTGCGCAGCGCGTGACTTACCTGGCTCCACTGCTGGGCAGGGGGCTCGTGAGGAGGCGTAGCGTCCTTGAACTGAACCCTGCTGCCCACTAGCGAAGGGAGAGGGGGCCGGCTGAGTGGAGACTGAGTCTCGTGCACCGCCGTCCTCATCCTCTTGGGACCCGGAGGCAAAGGAAACTGCTCTTTTAACGAAGTTTTGGGTACCACTGGCTGCGTAGCCAGTGGCGGAACAAAAACAAAAGGGAACATAAGATTCTCCACCCGGCCCTCCTCCGGGGGAAGGAGTGGTGCGGTCACCATCTCCTGAAGAGCAGGATCCAAGGGCTCCGGGTCGCCCGTCTCAGGGACGCCGCCTGCTTTGGCGCTTCACGGGCTTGGCAGGGGCGGAGGCGGGCTGCGCCGGTTTCCTGCGGCCGGCTCCACGCTGCGGCCGTTGTGAAGGCTGCTGTTGTGGCCGCGCCGGAGCGGAGGTGGAGGCCGCAGGAGGGCGCCCTCGGCGACGAGCAGACAGAGGGGCTGCAGCCGGCGGTGGGGTGCGGACAGCAGCAGACCGCCGGGGCAGGATGTGTCGGAACGCCTCCGTCTGCTTCTGTGCGGTGGAGAACTGTTGGGCAAAGCCCTCCACCGCTTCGCCGAATAGGACGGCCTGGGAGATCGAGGAGGCCAGGAAGCGATGCTTGTCGGGCTTCCTCATATCCGCCAAGGTCAGCCATAGGTGGCGCTCCTGGACCACCAATGTGGACATCGTCTGACCCAGGGCCTGCGCCGTGACTTTCGTCGCCCTAAGCGCGAGGTCCGTCGCGGTGCGCAGTTCCTGCAGCACACCTGAGTCAGCACCACCCTCGTGCAACTGCTTCAACGCTTTGGCCTGGTGGACTTGCAGGAGGGCCATGGCGTGCAGGGCGGAAGCGGCCTGTCCAGCAGCACTGTAAGCCTTAGCCGTCAGAGCGGACGAGAACTTACAGGCCCTGGACGGAAGGCGTGAGCTACCCCTCCAGGCGGCGGCGCTTTGCACGCAGAGCTGCATGGCAATAGCGCGCTCAACCGGAGGGATGTCCACATACACTTGGGCCGCCCCCCCGTCGAGGGTGGTGAGGGGAGGGATGTCCACATACCCTTGGGCCGCCCCCCCGTCGAGGGTGGTGAGGACGGAGGAGGCACCAAGTCTGTTTCGGGCAGAAAAAGGTGCCTTCCAAGACTTAGTAACCTCCTCATGCACTTCCGGGAAGAATGGAACCGGAGGTGGCTGCCGACGCCCAGCCTGCGCCCCCAGGAACCAATCATCCAGCCTCGAGCATTCGGGAGAAGGAGGAGGCCTCCAGTGCAGCTTGACACTCTCGGCGGCCCGAGAAAGCATAGCGGCCATGATATGCTGATTTGCTACTCAAGAAACATTTCTTATTTTTATTAATGTTAAAACAGCTCTGCTACTTAATATTATTGTGGAAACTATGGTATTTTTTTCCACCCAGAACAGTATTTAAAATAGAAATCTTTTGTAACATTATAGATGTCTTTGCTGTCATTTTAATGCCTCCATGTTGAATAATTAATATAATAATAACTGACCCCCAATCTTGTGAACGACATGTGAAGGGAGAAAAAAATCTAATTTGGGCAACTTTTACAATGTGAACTCATCTTAATGGAATTTTGCTATGATCTGGCTAAAACTATAAATGATAACTGAGATAAATGAGGAATCAGAATATCTATTGTCTTCTCAAACCTTTTATGTGAATTCTTTTATGTGCGATATTTTAGCTCTAGGACAAGAACAGTTGCAATTTATGAACCACTAATCATTAGAATTCAGAGGATTCTAAAAGCGGCGGCGGCGACGTCTCACCTGCCCATCTGTTCCGATCGTTCCCCCGCAGTCTGTGAGCAGCTCAGACATGTCATAATAACTCACAAACTCCCACAGACAGGCCTCCAAGTTCAGGTTCCTGTAAAAGCGTAGAGTGCTCTGGCCTCTGAGGACGGGGCTGTACTGATACGGCAGAGTCTCTCCGACGCTCTCTATATTCCGGCTGGCCTTGGTTAGAAATCCATGGTGTGTGGACACCTCATTAAAGTCCAGCAGATTGGAGCACCTGTGGTTTCCCACGCGAGTGCCATCGGGGCTCAGAGTCAGCTCAAAATTGGACAGTGCACGAGTGGAGACCACAGGGAGCATGCCTGGAGCACACCACATAGAAAATACATGACAATTAACAAACTAAAATCACTTTCATAATATTGCATCGGTTAAGATGAATATGTCTCTCTACTAATAATAAGCTATAGAACTGAAATACGAATCTGAAAAAGAAAAATCTGAATCTTGTGAGATTTAGAAGCATTACCTGACAATATTTAATGGATGTTATTATTTACTAAAAATACAAAAAGGAGATAATTTGAAGAATGTGTGTGCTTCTCTAACAACATCAGCAATCAAAACAACTAAAAATACCATAAAAGTAATTTGAGTTATGAAACACATTTCTGTCATAACAACTCTCGGAGGGATTGGCATGGTAATGTACATTACAATGTTAATATGTTTGGTCTTTGCGGAATAGATCTGCTATGTTACTGCTAAGCAACGAGACTTGCTACTGCCAATACATCCACAATATGCTGCTGTGAGAATGTAAGAAATACTGCTGCTGCACAAATAACATGATCACCCCATAGCAGATCTATACAGGTGGAACTGGGGAAGGTCGAGGGTTTCTACAGTATCTGAATGTTGAGCAGGGAGCTTATTGGCTACCAATACAGGAGAGAACCAATCAGCTGTGACGTGATAATGATGTCATTATGTCAGATTGAGTTAAACCTATCGGACTGCGCCATCTAGAGTTTCATGTCAGAAATTTGGATTAGAACCTACAGTATACTTAAATGTTAGCGCAAATGTGATTTGAGAGCTACTGCAGACAGGAAGATTTTCACTTATTGTCTTAAATTTTCATCTTTTCCTTACACAAAGCTACCATATGGCTTTAGAAGTTTAGGAATGTAGTGTACGAGTTATATGGGCTACTTTTATAGTGTTGTTTTTGGACAACCTAAAAAAACAACACTGTAAATGAACATTTTATAGCTTTCCATTTTTGGGCAATCTTCAAAAGTGTATATTTTTTGTGTTCCACAGAAGAAATAAAGTCACAACATGAGGGTGAGTAAATGATGATAAAATATTAATTTTTATAATAGTTAAATTGCACATTTTGCCTGCAGTAAAGGTAGTGTCACTGTATTGTAGGAATGCTATGGAAAAGTACAGTTAAAAGCAAACAGCTTTTGATTGGTTAGGAAGGTAAAATTAACGTAATCATATTTAGTCAAATGGCCTAAATTTCTGGCGTGAAACATGTGACAATTTTTCCCCAAAATACTTTAAAATACTTTACCCTTTTATTATTTTTTTCCCAGAAATAATTTTGATGGAGGACAAACATGATTTTGATGGAAAATGTTGTTCACAAATGTGTGACATGGCACTTCATGTTTATGCATCATTCAGACTTTGATTTAGGCTTTTGAAGAGAGCTATAATATTTAGTTTTGACAGCAAATATGGCATAAATCCTACAAGAATGCCAGCTTTTTTCCCAAGGGGATATGTGAGAGGGGTTTCTCTCAGAGGGGCTGAACTAAGCAAACAACCTGGCAGCCAGAGGGGAAATAATTCTCTCACCGTCTATGTGGGGCATGCTGACAGTAAGCTTGACGAGATTGGCATATTCAGGGTCTTCAGCGCCTGTATAACGCAGTTTGGCAGAAAAGGGCTCAGCACCTACTGTGCCCAATTTACGTGGCTGGCACATCCCTGCCCAGGAACATCAAAGACATGAAACATTACTTCAAGCATATTACCACCTACTGACAGTCTAATTCCACATTGCAAATGGCATATTATAACCAGCAGCTCAGGAAGAGCATAATGCTCTTTGGTGCTGCTATACAAAGCAAAGCATTTTTATATGATTTCACTTAATGTGATGGTTTTGGGCTCACCTTCTTCCATGCTAATAGACACAATGGGGCTGCTCAGTTCCAGCCCCTCATCCCCGTTAGAATTTACGGCACGGGCTGCACACTGCACTCTAGAACCCGCTTGGAAGTAAATGGAGTCTAGGGTGATCATCTTGGAGGAAGTAAAGAATGTATCAAAGTCAGCCTCTCTCATGGGGCTGGTGACGCCATCCGGACCACTGGGGGCACTAATGAGCCATCGGTAACGAGTCAGTGTATCGTTGATGCGTTCGCTAATGCAGATGGAGCCTGTTTTGTCATGGTCGGGATATTTGGGATTGCAAGCCTGGATAAGTCAGAGAAATAAACAAGGACAAGAGAGAAAATCTGACAATGAAAACACTACATTTTAAAATACAAAATGCTATTCGATAAAAAAAAGTACAATTATTATTATTTTTTTACTTTTACACAGCTAGCACGCATGATCAAGACATTTTTAATATTACAAAATATTTCTGTTTCAAGTAAATGCTGGTATTTTGAACTTGCTATTCATCGAAGAATCGTGAGAAAATATATCAAGGTTTCCACTTCAATAAAAGATTTGTAATAAGAAGAAACATTTTTTTGAGGACCAATCAGCATATTAATAAATCAGCACAATGATTTCTGAAGGATCATGTGACACAGAAGACTGGAGTAATGGCTGCTGAAAATTCAGCTTTGCTATCACAGGAATAAATTACACTATAAAATATATTAAAATAGAAAACTTATTATAAAGTGTAAAAATATTTCACAATATCACTGTTTTTACTGTATTTTAGATCAATGGTTAATCTATTTTTTAAAACTTTCAAAAAACAACAACAACAAAAAAAAGCGACAAACCCAAATTTGTCAAATGTAGTGTACATAATATATAATATAATATAATAACTCTTTAATTAAAGCCTTTATTTATAATGAATTATAAAAGTGGTTTTAATGTATTAATTATGCCTTGTAATGCCCCGTATGAGGCATTGTATGATCTCATGAATAATTGTAATAAGTTATAATAAATTATAATACTTATCATTATAATACTTATTCATTGTTACACATTTAGAAAGCAAGAATTCAAACATTATAATTTATTTTAACTTTGGTTACTATTATTTATGAAAACAAAGATTTAATGCATTACAGTATACATTATGAATACCTTTACAATTATACATAAAGGCTTTAAATAAAGTGTTAACTATAATATAATATATAATATAATATAATATAATAGTAGAGGAATTTGGCAATCATTGAATACCATGGTACACATATCAGACTACCACAGTTTTACCATCATTGTTCTGTGATATCACAGTACTTCCACACAACAAACTCCTGCACACAACAGACTTCTGTTTAATAATTTATCACAGGAAACAACACAGAGGATTTGAAAGATTAAACACTGTTGTGTTTCTTGCGCACTTTCTTAAGTCCTAATGGTTTAAGAAAAGCACAATCACTGTGAAGCCTATTACTACATGTATATAGCTTAAGATTTGAAAAATCATTATAATCTTATAATCTTTTTCATTCACTTGTACTTCAAGGACCTATTAAAAACTTGATAAAAACATCCACATAATTTGCATTAAAAATGCATTTAAATGAATATATGAATGACGCTGGTCACAAGTAAGTAGGGAAATGTGTCTCACTGACTTTTTCTTCTGACAAACATACCGTGACGCAAACGACAGGGTATCCAGCGGGTGGGTGAGCAATATCTTTGGTTCGTCTGACAACATCGTAATGCAGCAGTGACACAACATGAGGCAGTGAAGGGAACGTGACATCAGCCATACTGTTGGTCTCTTCAATGTACACTATGGCTTTAGTCATCTGCCAATACGAAAGACATAGATTTTCAATTTACATAAACTGTATATTAAAATCCAGATACGTACCACAGGGAACATTTATTACCTGGATTTCAGCAACCATGTTCTCGTCTGGTTTCAGATGGACAGTGAAGGCCTCTCTCATCTCTCTTACGCCATCAAACAAAACCTCCACTTCCACTACATGCTCGATCTCACCAGCTTTAAACTCAACATCTACGCACACACACACACAAAATATATGATTACATCCACTAAAAGATAAACACATCCTAACATTTCTTCTCCTAAATGCTTCCACACCTGATTGCATTTGTCATTTGCATCCTGAACTCTATATAACCTGATGGAGACAGGAAATGCATGCATGTGGAAGCAGCTTGGAGCCACCTGCCAATCTACAAAGGATAATTAGATACGGCATATTCAAAATGCAAATGACCCGTTCTGGCCTCCAGAAGCCTCACCGAGGGAGATGGGATGGTAGTCTTCTCCAGATATGGCAGAGCCGTCTTTCGTGTGCACCCTCACAAGGGACACTTTCGAAACGTCTCCTGTCCTGTGGATAGGGATCTTCACCAATGTCATCTGCCCCGACTCTTTTGGCTCACTAACACTGAACTTTGTCTCGGCAAACTTGATGATGGGCTCTGAGAGAGGAAGATGAGAAGACAGTTTTTGTGCATTAAAAGATTCTTAGCCGAAAGAGAATCTGTTTACTGAAGTTTGACCCAAATTCTAGAAATCTGAACCTAAATGTCAGGTATTTATTTTAATATTCATCTAACGTGTATTTTAGATGAACATTTTTTTTGTTTCTTTCTTACTGTCAGTGTTGTCCTTGATCTTGATGAGCGTTTCATTCTGGTTGCCTATGGATGCTCCGTACGGCGAGTCGCTCTTCGCGCTCCCCAGAACCAGCCTCAGTTCCTCCTCCTCCTCATGAATCAAATCATCCACCAGCTTCAGCACACAGGGTTTTTCAGACTCACCTGGGGATCAAAACATGGACACCAAAGTCTGAAAATATAACCCACCTCAACATTTATTCACCATTCAAAAAATTCATTAAAAAACTAAACTGACAACATTGTGCAATTAAACAAAGCATTACTCCTTTTTGGACAAATATTTATGTCACTTGAATAGCAGATATCAAGTGAAGTGTGTGATTTTTACCCGTTTAATTCAGGTTTAATTAATTTAGTTGTTTGCATGTTCATTTGCTCATTCATCATTTCTTTGTACATTCATCCATTCATTTGTTTGATTGTTCATTTATTCAGTTGTATTTCCCCATTCCACATCCTAGCTTAGAGGATCATCACTCGCATATTTTACTTGAATTTGAGGTTAATACAGGTGAAGAGTGTAATTTTTTAAACGGTTTAATTCAAGTTTAATTCACTCACCTATTTGTTAGTTCATTTATTTATTTGTTTGTTTATTTATACAATTTGTTCATTCATTTACTCAATCATTCATCTGTCCATCATTGCTTCGTTTGTTCATTCATTCATTCATTTGTTTGTTTATTATTTATTTGCTTGTTTATCAGTTCATTTGTTTCTCATTTGTTCTTTCATTCATTCATTTCATATTTTTGTCCATTAATTCATGCATTACTTCATTCATTTGTTCGCTGATTTATTAATTAGTTCATTATGTTTGTTCATTCATTAATCAGGGTTTCTACAGATCTGAACAAGTTACATTTAAGACATTTTTAATACCACCTTATATGAAATTTAAGATCTAAACCTGTGATGGAAATACACATTCTATTACATACATATGTGACCCTGGAGCACAAAACCAGTCATAAGTAGCACAGGTATATTTGTAGCAATAGCCAAAAATACATTGTATGTATTGATTTTTCTTTTATGCCAAAAAAGATTAGGATATTAAGTAAAGATCATGTTCCATGATGATATTTTGTAAATTTCCTACCGTAAATATATCAAAACTTAATTTTTGATTAGTAATATGCATTGCTTAGAACTTAATTTGGACAACTTTAAAGGCGATTTTCTCAATTTTTTTTTATTTTTTGCACCCTCAGATTCCAGATTTTCAAATAATTGTATCTATTTTCAAATATTGTCTTTGTCCTATCCTATCCTAACAAACCATACATCAATGGAAAGCTTATTTACTCAGCTTTCATATGATGTATAAATTTCAATTTCACAAAATTATGACTGGTTTTGTGGTCCAGGGTCACATATATGTAATGTTTAATGTAAAAAGAAAACAAAATATCATCGCTGTCATAAATGTTATTTATTATTACAATATACAGTGAACTTTCAGCAGACAATACTACATTCAAAATATCCCCACAAAAGCACTGCATCACCGAGATTTTTGCTGGTGTAAATGATTTATTCTGAAGCAATATTTTAATCAGTGTTCTATCAGATTTTACATACTTAAATCTGCATATTTGTTATTTACCTTTATAAAGGCCTATTTTTTTACCGTTTTAAATGTAAGCATAATCTTTAATGTCAAATTCTTACAATTGATCAATAAATTTAATATACACTACAGGGCTGTTACCAGTCAGATTAAATAATTTACACTGCAAAATTACAATGACAATAAATAATGTTATGAGATTAATGTTTTAAATACATTTTTGGATATACAAATAAGAAATGCTGAGGGGGGGTGCATCATTTTAAACATACTATACCACCAGTAGGTGGCGGTAAATCACTTAATGAGTGAGTCACGGAGTCATTTATTCAACCGATTCGTTCAAAATGCTGGATCATTCAGTAACAAAACACAGCCGAGTGTTGATTGGAAAATGTGCAATACTTCTGCTGTGATCTTTGCTTGGAACAATTTTTGTTGATGAAATAGAATAAAACAGTAAATATTGTGTCTAAAATGTAAGTAACTTAATAACTACTTGATTTCTTAACAACTTGTTTATTGAACTAAAATGTTCAATGGCATGAATATTCAGCAAAATAGCCCCCTGGTCATGGTATGTTACTTAACTATATAATGTTATGAATAAACTAAACATTTAGAATTTAGTTTTTTACTGAGTAACTTATCTTTATGTGTGCTGTTACCAGGGCCGCTGCTGGTCAAATGGTTGCCCTAAGCAGAATTGTGTTGTTGTGCCCCATCCGTCAAATATGGAAGTAAAAAAAAAAACACCTACTATAGGAGTCAAAATAGAACTTTAATAAAATATAAAAGTAAATAAATTGTAATTAAATTATATTATTTATAATCTCATTTGTTTTGAAGTCTCTCACAAAGAGACCGTGTGAGCCTCAACAGCGCCATCTTGATACCAGAAATACACTATCCATTATTAATCGCTGTTTACATTGAATGTAATAAAATCAGAAGAATCATTCTCGCGCTTCGATGCTTCACTGGTTATTTTCTGTCACTTAAGTTTTAATCAGGCTATTTGTCCGATCGGCCAAGTAAAAAAATCTTCGGTCTGTCCAACTGTAAACAGTCGCTGGGTCCGTCAGACTGGAGACATTTTAGCGGTAATGTGACGAAAAAATATTTAAGACCCATCAAATCAGAATGTAAGACATTTTAAGGCCTTTTATTAGAAAAACTTTATTTAAGACATCTTAAGACTTTTTAAAGACTCGCGGACACCCTGTTAATTAATCTGTTCATTGTTGGTTTATTTGTTCATTTCATTTGTTTGCTTGTTAATTCATGCATTCCGTTATTTATTTGTTCATACATTTATTAATTTGTTCATTGTTTGTTTGTTTGTTCATTAATCTGTTCATTGTTGGTTCATTGTTCATTCATTGATTAATTTATTTGTTCATTCATTAATTTCATGTGTTTGTTCATTAATTCATTCATTTGTTGGTTCATTCGCTTGTTCATTTATTCATTTGTTAATTCCACTTCCCATCTCAAGTAAAAGGCTATTTACCGGGCAAGAAAGCTATGATGGACGTGTCAGTGTTGGGTCTCTCGTCAAAGTCGAACACCACCTGTGCAGAGCCCTGCCGGGTGTAGCAGCGTACAGTGGACTTGTGTCTGATGTCTCCGCTGCGGTGTACCATTGCAGTGATGTGACCTTCACTCTCCTCTGCAGTCATCACAGTCTGTTTAAACTGCACTTTTGGCACTGAAGAAAGAGAACAAACAAATCCAAACGCTCTAATATAACAGTCTACCTCCACATCAAGGACAAAAACTAATAATAATTGAGTCTTTCGTGCTGTGGGTGAGTCTATGGAACAGTGTATGCATGTGTCACAGCTACAATTTTGTAAGAAAAATGTTAAATACTCACAGTCTGAAATGGAGTCGTTGATAAAGATCGTGACTTTCGCTGGCTCTCCCAGAATTCCATTGGAGGGCATACGGAGAATAAGCTCAAATCTTTCTGTCCCTTCCAGAACAGGCTGGCCTAGGTCATCCAGGATGGTGACCCGGACCGTCTGCATGCTCACACCCGGTGCAAACTCCAAGTTTCTGCTGATTCCCACATAGTCCACCCCCGCTAGCAGATGAACACACAGAAAAAAGGCTAAGGTCAGAGAGAGGTCAGACGATATTTAACAGCAGAAGCATAGGATCCTCACTTTCCATTAATCCTCTCTCAGAGAGACTGCTGTTTCGGCTTTTTATTTTTTTTGGGAGAAATCTATGTACAGTATAGAGCTTACAGCTTAAAGGGGTTATATGATGCGATTTCAAGTCTTCCTTTCTCTTTGGAGTGTTACAAGCTGTTCGTGAATAGATAAGATCCCTAAAGTTGCAAAGACTAAAGTCTCAAACCCAAAGAGATATTCTTTATAAAAGTTAAGACTGGTCCATGCCCTCCTAAAACGCCTCATTTAAACACGCCCCCACATGTCTACGTCACGATGTGGGAAGATTTGCATAACACCGCCCAAAGGTTCACGCTAAGAAAAAAGGCATAACTTTATTGTTGTTGCCACCACCGCTGCCATGTTGTGAAGACGCTGTGTGTCTCGTTGCAAAAGCGAAACTACTTTGTTTGGTCTTCCAAAAGAGGACACGACTAGAAATCAGTGGTTAAGTTGTATTTACAACACTGTTCCAGAACAGTTCAACACAAATATTCAGATGTGTCCAGCGCATTTTATGGAGGACTGTTTCCTGATCCTGGGAGAGTAGCCTACAATGCCGGCTGTTCTGACTCACAGACTGTAAGTACGTTTTCATATTTAAAGGATTTGCCTCTGACGATTCAAATGCGAGTTTTGAGCAGTGTAGATTAGTGCTTGTTGTTTGTCATTTCTCCGATCACAAATGCAGACATGGTTTTGTTTATGTGTTTATGTGCAACGCAACGCATAAAAAGACAGTATAAGTCATTATAATCAGTAATTATGCCCCCACTGGATGCAACAAATGCCTCATTT